TATGCACAAACAAATAAATCTTTAAAAAAAAATGCTTCTCCACTTTTCCATATTGAATTAGAAAACTAACAATAAGAGCCCCAAAGAAGGTGGCAAGTGTATTCAAGCAAAACTGACAAGTGTTTCTGTTTTGCCTACAAATGATTTTATAATAAAAAAAAAAAATCTGGGCCCTCCCTGGTGGTGCAGCAGGTTAAATCACAGTACTAAGAAGCTAAAGCTACTTCAGCATGAGTTCGATCCCCACGCCAGGAGGTGATCCACATGGCGCGGCAGACCTCTCCTGACCCCACCCACTGCCCCCCTCAGCAGGGTACTTCCTCAGTCGGCCTGTTCTGCTCCCCATCCCATCTCTGGTGAATCTTCTCGCTGCTCCTGCATCTCTGGCCTGTACCCCAGTTCTGTATGCATAAATAAATAAATCTTTTTTAAAAAATCTTCCTATCTGGTCAAGGTAATTCTTATTTGGAACATTTGAGAGAAAGGTTAATCTCTCTGTGCAATTGATGTTCCTCTCAGTTTTTATGGGTACAAAAGGAATTGAATTTGAAAATGTTAGACTCAGTGAATGGAAAAGCAATAAAATTTGAAATTGAGAAAATATATAGGCTGCCCTGTTGAACTTGAATTTCCGCTAAGTAACAAATGATCTTGTCTTTTCCTTTGGTCATATGAGCGATGGCCACTTTAGCCCATGCTATCCCTCTTCCGAAGAACAGTGAGTCCCTTACAGGTCGGGGCCCCCACTCCAAGCCTGATTTTAATGGGCCTTCACTTTATAAAGCGCTTTCACAACATCCTACCACAACTACACAACAGTCCTTCAAAGAAAATTGAGCATAGCCAACTTCCTTTCATGCATGAGGCTTAAATGGCACAGCTCTCATCTTAGAGACAGGGCTGATCATTTCTGTCATCAATGCAGCTCCGGCCCCTCTCCTGAATGTGGCCTCCGCTTACTGACTCCTGCCTGTCGTTAGGCCACCGTCTGTGCAGTGAGTTCCCCTATGTTAACGCGCTGGGGTTTTCACAACAGCTCACAGGGCTGGGAAGATGGGCCCTAAGATCAGGGCACCCCTTAGCCGCTATTTATAGCCAGTGAGAAAAGCAAAATTCTTCAAAGAACCATTTCTGGCACATCTAAGAGAAGAAAAGCTTTGATCCAAATTTCAGATTCTAAATCCCTTGATCTTGCCCTCCGTATGGCCTGAGAAGGGGTGAGTCACTTCCCCAGAGGCCTCCCCGTGCCTGTTCTGAGCCAATGGGAAAGGCTGGCTGTCTCTTCCCATGGGGCCTCATGAAGCCATCTGGCCTCGCTGTCTGAGACCACAGCCTGGGTGCCTCCCGCACACTGCCGCTGAACCCCACAAGGTTGAGTGAGGAGCTCAATGACCGGCCTAAGTGGTACTGGCCACATAGTACTTTTCCTCACTCATCCGCAGAGTCAGCCCGTGCCTGGCTGGTGCTCAAAATCCAGTTCTCACAGGTCCCCTCCCCCCACACGGCCTCCTGTGGCTGCTCCAGGATCATGTCCAGTTTATTTGACTAAAAGACCTGGGGACATCCCTAGGTACAATTTCTCTACGTGACATCATTTATTCAAAATACCAAGTACAGGTCCTCTTGATACTGATCCCCTGTCTCTTCACTGATCCCCTGATTCTTACTCCCTCCCTGCCCTAGAAACACACAGACCACACACACACATTCCCATACACCACCACAGGCACCGTTATTCACAAGAGCACACTCACACGCACACACTCATGCACTCACACTCACGTACACCCTGCACACTCACAGGCATGTGCACACACACACAGACAACCATGAACAACCAACCAGATGCCCCCGGGGAAATGGCCTTTCCTTGGGTACCAGACCACGGGACATCGTACCCAAAACTGCAGGAAAGAGGAGGAGTTGGGTCGGGTCTGGGAAACTTGGAAGGAAATTTCCACTCCAGGTATTTGATCAGACACATGCTTTCAGTATAAAATTCTGGAAAAGATGAAGTTTGATAAGGAATGGAAGCCAACCGCATTTACCGCATTTATTACTTTATTTCTTGTGAGAGGACAGCAGGGTACTGCAAAACAGGTGAAGCAGCCAATCCACCTTCAGGAGGGAGAAGAAAGTCACTGCACTGGGGTAAGGACAGGGAGCGCCAAGGGTTGGGGCACCCTCGCAGAGACTGGGCCATCTTCTGGGGTCCTACCCACTCAAGGAGGCGCAGCCTTCCAGAAGCTCTGTGGGACACAGCAAGGCAGGAGACTCAGAAACTGATTTCTTTTTTGGAAAGTCAATGAATCAATCAAGAAGGATGCTAACAGCCTCTCCTCTGACTTCCCTCCACTGAGTAAGGGCTCGCCACACTCACATTGCACCAGCTCCTCATCCAGCAGCGGGGAGTCCCCCGTTCATTCACATATACTTGCTGAGCCCTGCTTGGTGTGAACTGCATGTACTAAGATCAGTCATACCTCAACAGATAAGTCTGGACCTATATGTACAGACAGGTGGATCTACTCATAACATGTGTATGTGCACATGTGTTACAAGTATACATTTGTATACACACAAACAGTTCGTTTTCACTGAATAAAGCAAATTCTCAGTTTCTAAAATCTTTAAGGTTGTCACTATCTGGCGTTACTTACTATCTACGCCTTTATGCTATAGCCTCTAATTCTTTGAGCTCATCGAAGAGGTGGCAATGCCCTGTGGTGTAGAGACTCATATACATACACAATTCTGTTTGGTCCTTCTACCTTTTACCTTCACCCCTGAACTTTCTCGGGGATACCGCTGGGTTCCATCCACACTTACGGGGGGTAGAGCATCGTTTCAGATTAGCGACAGCTGTGACATATTCTTGTCCCAAGTACTTTTCATATGTTGTTTTGCCTTGGAGTCTGGCCAGACACTCTGTGTTATCGTTGAACAAAAGGTTTTTGGTTTCAGATTGGAATAAGCAAAACTTCCCGGGGCAGTCACGTCCGTTTCTTCCAAAACGAGCCTGTGTCAAGGAACGAACAATGAGTGGCCAAGGCTAAGCAGGCTTGTTTATGGTCAGGGAAAGCCATGGACACTCCTTTCATCCATGCTCGGCCCTTGGATGGTGAGCCTGGCGTCACTCACTGCCCTCCAATTTTATGGAGAAATAATTGGCATACCTCATCTTATAAGTTTAAGGCATTTGAGCCTTATGCTTCATTTTTATATGTTGTAAAATGACTGCAAAAGTAGATTCAGTTCATACTCATCTTCTCATACAGATACAGTAAGAAGAAAAGGAAAAGAAATTTCTCCACGAGACAAGAACTCTCAGAACTTACTCCCTTTAGAGCTTTCCTACACATCACACAGCAAAGCTAACTGCACGCATCACCCATATACCAGAGCTCAAATATCCTTTCTTCTTTGTCTGTGGTTTCTTCCCTTTAGAAGTTCTTATGGGTAACTAGGTGACAGCGGGGGATTTTTGAGATCTGTCCCCCAAAGTTAATCACCTTCAAATATTCCAAAAGACCAGCTCTTCTGAGAATCTTCCCTGCCACTAACCAGGTCACTGCTTTGGGCAGATGGCCCAGCTCCCTCAGCTGAGTTTCCCCTCCAGGTCCAGGGCGAGCTGTGAGAATCAGACACCTCGATGACAGGAGATTCTCACAGGCCCAGTGAGTGTGCAGCGTGAGGGCTCCTGACGCTATGGGCCTCCACCCCAAGGAATAACGAAGCACTCTTTAAAGCACACCTGACATGCGATATTCCAATGTAAAACTAGCAGTTCTAATAGAGTCACAAACACTAAAGAAATTATAGGATTTTCTTCAAACCACATAAATGACCTCAAAGCTTTGCAAGTTCTGCGTGTATTGTCGGTGGAAATTCATATGCAAACAATCCAGAACACTGCTTAGTGGGCCCAGGGTAAACCACAACCACCCCTCCTACTAAGCTCTGTGGGAGGATGGGTCACTCCTCTCCTCTGCTGCAGAGAAAAAGGAGAGACAGGGAGAGCAGCCTTCTCTGAGGTTGGCCCCGGGAGCATAAGCCCGCAGGCGGAAGGAACATCAGTGCCACAAAGCCCAGTGCCAGACCTCTGCTCCCCCATGGAGTCTGTGGGGTGGCCCACAGCATGAAGCAGACACAAGACCGCTGGCTTCCAGCAGCAACTAGAGAGAAAGACGCTTGTGGGCTGACTCCCCTGGCAGGGGCCACCCCACAGACAGAAACCCTTGAGTTCAGAAAGAGCCTGAGGCGCTGTGGCCCATACCTGTTGCCGGAGCATCACCTGTTCCACCAGCTCTGCCTTTTCTCTGCGAGATACCACGGCATGACTAGGGGCGACAGCCAGATAGCAGTTCTGTGCCTCCGTCACAGGCTTGCGGGAGCCATCAAGGCACAGCAGCTCGAAGTCCTCCAGCTTCAGATCCTTAGCCCACGCCTCAGTGTTCTTTCCTGGAGCCAGAAAGGAGCTGACCTCAGTCATACATGCAGGGCTTGGTCAGAGGGCCCTTTCTGTGTTGGTACCTAGCCCCTGACCTCCTGAATTGCCCACCTGGGGCTGCAGTGATGCCATGGAGAAAGAAGAAAGCTTCGCCCTGTGCATGCTATGCAGACCTCAAACATATCAAACCTAACTGCTATACCATGCAATGGGGTATTTCTCAGCAATAAAAGCAGGGACAGTGTTGACAGCAACTATTATAAATGGGGTCTGGGGCATTTTTACCACACAGTAGATTCCATCCCACACTATACTTTTCTAACTGAATTGTCCTCCATGCAAGTACGCATTTTTAATGTTGTCTGTCTTTTATGCTGCTCCTATAAGTCTCCTATTAAAATATATTGTGCTATTAAAAAAAGTACTGCTATTGCTGTTATATGGAGGCACCTTGAAAACATGATGAAAAGGCCAACACAAAAGGCCACATTTTGTAGGATTCCATCTATGTGGCACACCCATGGGAAAATCTATGGAGACAGAAGGGGGTTGAACAGGAAAGTAACACTAAATAGGCATAGGCTCAGGGTTTCTTTATGCGGTGGTATGAACATTCTAGAATTGGGTTGTCAGCAGTAGCACAGCTCTGTAAATATACAATGAGTTGTACACTGGGAGTGGGTGGGTATTATAGTATGTGAATTATGTCTCAATAAGGCTGCTAAATTTTAAGATTTTTTTAAAGGGAAGTCTCCACCTGTGCCTTATTTTCCAGTGAGTTCCAGAAAAAGAGAAATAGCTGCTTTATGCTCATGAGAAAATGGTTTTCTCCTTCCTTGTGTACTCAAATACCCTTAGTGTGACCAGATAAGAAAAACAGGAACTTGTAAGTTCAGTTCATGTGGATATTTTAGTTCATTCCAATAAAATAATCTAAAATGCCAGAGAAGCTTATCACTGAATTTGACACTGATGTTAAGACTTCACAAATTAAAAGTGTCATTATTACATGTCTGTGTGTTTGCAAAATGACAGGCTGTCTGTTAAGCCCCTGTTTGTTTGTCCTTTTGTCCTCTTCCCTGAAGAAAACACTCCACTCATTGTCTTGGCCTTAGTCTCCGAAGGTCCGGCGGAGGCAGGAGGACCAGTTGTTACTGCAGATTCACTGAAGGAACAAGGCGGAAAGTTGAGGGTGACCAAAGAGCACGTCTGAGTAACACTTATCTTCCCCTAGAGATCAGGGCGCCAGTGTCACTTAAACATGGGCGGGGGATGACCGCTTTCCTCTGCATCTGCTGGGAATCTGTTTCAAAATCCAAGCGACGCAATCAACGTAATCCAAATTGTGAAAAAGCTTCCTGATGGCAAATCGGAGCACTAGGACATGCAGGAATGCCAGACTGCTCTGGAGAGAGGCCGCCTCACCTACCATTGGTGTTGTCCAGCACAGTACTGTCTTTCACGAAGGCAACGTCTCCCGCATCACTGACCAGGCACCTAAAATGATCCAGACAATAAATTATCATTGAAGGTAAACTATTAGACGTTTCATAAATATTTATATCCTTCTAAATCTGAAGCACAGAGGTAAACATGGAAAAGACACAGATAAACATTTCCAGGAACTTGTGAATACAAAGGGCAGACTGAACAAATATGAACACCTCCCCTCCTGAAATCTCGATGCAATGACATTAATGAGACACTTTCTAAATCCATAAGCCTCCGGGAGGGAGGGAAGGTAATAATGACAATGTCTGGGATTTAGAGAGCAGATGGGTGAGTGGGAATGAACTGTGCAGAACAGAGAAAGGTGACGTGGGGAAGTGCAGAAGAAAGCAGATGTGCCAGGCGCCAAACCTCAAACAGGAAAGCTCGAGAAAGACACATCCTGGTGCAGCACCTCTCAAAGTGGCTGAGAGTGAGAATGGGGCCCGTCCAGGATGTTTCATTTGTGTGTGTATGTTTAATTTTTTTAAGATTTATTTAATTTTTGAAAGGTTTTTTATTCATAAAAGAACTGGGGTTTATGCCAGAGGTGTGGGGTGAGGAATGAGAGGATTCACCAGAGACAGAGTGGGGAGCAGAACAGGCAGACAGGGCACAGTTGAGATGCCCCCAGCACATGCAGCGGAAGACTGTCGCCCACACTTGAGGCAGAAGACCCAACGTGCGTTCACGGAGATGCTGGATCTGGACACGGCAGGCGAGGGAACCCACACAGCTGAAGGCAGAGGCCAGGGCTGAGAGCAGAGCATGGAGAGAAAACCCAGCCTGGAGGGTTTTTCCAGCACTCAGCCCCCAAGAAGCAGACGCGAGGATCGATTTCTCTGGGGGTGCCGACTAACCCAAGCAAAGCGCAGCCAGGGTCCCGTCTGTGTTTGCGTGCTCTGTGTGAAATTACAGCCAACTGCCCTACTGGGAAGCGCCTACCACGCAACAGGAGGCAGCTGTCACAGGCGGTCAGCTGACGCCTCACTCCCAAACAAAGACAAACAGCCGGAGACCCTTGTGTTTAGAGAAACATCTCACTCTTGGCTGAACGGCATGTAACTCTGGGATCAAATTTGGCACAAGATGTAACTAAGTCTCCTCAGGACTAAAGAGTTCCATTTAGCTCTTTGAATTCCATCCTGCAAGATTTTCATCTACTCGACCCTTATTATTTCATCGGTTATTCTATGCTCCTAAGAATCTGTGCGTATCTTCACTTAAGCCAGCATTTTTCTAGTTTCTCATGGGAGAATTGGTCAAAATAGGTAATGAGGCCATTTCCCAGATATGAGAATTCTGCCAAACATTTCCTGGGGAAAATGTTTTCCAACTTATCCAGCCAAACTGTAAACAATTTCAAGGGTAAAATAAAGATATTTTCTGACTTAAATACTCAAAAACAGCAACTCTTAGGGCTTATTTCTCAAAATGTTCCCATAAAACCAAGAAAGTAAATAATAAGGGCCCAGGGCCCCTAAGTAAGACAAAGGGGAACCCCAGGACCACAGACAAGCAGGGGGCTGGAGAAGTCAGTTCTAAGGGGCAAGAGGAGGTGAGTTTTTGGGAGCAATGAGCAACGTTCCCAGGGAAACAGTAGCCTGGAACGCAGCTCCCTTTCTATTTGCGGTAGAAACGTCTCTCTGTTGCTACAAGGTCTTCAGACGAATTAGGGGAGTTCATGACTTTTTTTAAAAGCACAGGAAATATAAAAATGAAATATAAAATATTAAACATAAAGAGCAAAGCAAAAATGTGGACAGTAAGGGAACTATACCATATATTTAACATAAAAAAAATACGTGTCCATAATAATGTAACACTGAAGATGACGTAATCCTTATGGATACTACAACAAGGTGAACTTTGTGACTGTGGGTGGAAATGGCGCACAAGCAGTAGGTGAGGCTAGACCTTCCATAGTGGAAAATCAGAAGAAGCCGCTGCTACTGTCAGTATAACGATGCTAGAAACAGAAGTGAACAGGACTTCTGCTTCCTGCATTCGATTTGAACAAAAATTGAAAGCGTTTTCTTTTCATATAAATAGAAAGACTAAAATGTTGGTGTTTCCAGTGAAGTAAATAACTTGCACAGGTTTGGAGGGAAATAAAAACACTATTTGATTCCTTTGGATTCTCCTCAAATGTGTCTTTTCAATATTTCTGACGGAATCTTATCACAGCTCTTCTGTTTGCAAATCCATTGTCCCTTCAAGATATTGTTTACAAAATATTTTTATGAATCAGTAGGAGGGTAGTAAAATTTACTTCTATGTTACCTACCCCATGAATGGAGCAAAGGCTACTGAATTTATACTAAAATGTTCACAAGCCAGTGTCCTCTGTCAGTCTCAAGAGCATGATGCCATCTGCTGGTAAAATATATTTTTGGCGAATGGAAAAAGGGTTGGGGGATCTTTCTGCCTCTCAAATACCCCTGAAAGTACTGCTGAGAAGCATGGCTAAATGTGACTGTAAAGTGCGGGTTGTGGGTAATTACTGTGAATCACAAAGTACTTATAACTGATGGATTCCAGAAACTTATTTTTAGACTTACATTTCACTTCACTACTAGAGAATAACCATATAATGCAGCTTTCTCTGCCATTTCTGGTGTCATAGTCAAAGAGCAAAATGAAACATAAGACACAATGATGACCAGGGTAAGGGGAAAGCCTGGTGGCTATGGGTGAGAGAATTCTTCCCTATAAAACTTGTGCTGCCATATTTGATTTGTAAGATGAAGATATTGAGGCGCACTGAGAATGACTTTGGCTCCGGGCCACAGGGAGGAGTCTGGCAGAATTGGGGCCAGACAGCCCGGCATCAGCCTCCACTTCGTGGGGTGGTGGGAGTGAGGGAGGAGCCCGCACTGGTCTGACCCTTCAGGAGACACGCCTACCCAGGACGCCTCCTGACTCTGCTGTGACAGGCCCCCCTGGGGCCTTGGAAACACAGCAAGATCCTGGGGGACCAGAGGCCAGGTGGAGGTGGGTCCCGGTGCTCACCTGAAAGCCCCAGTGTAGCCCTGGTACCTCTCGCTGCTGTTGGCTGCACACCTGTGCTCCCCCTGATCATCGCCAACACACAGGGCACAGAGGTTAGAACTCAGGTCAGCCCCAGGAGCACAGCTTCGGCTAAAGAACTCATCTGCAAAGAGGAGACGTGGGAGTCAACTCTTTCTTCCTGAGTCGACACAAGAAGTCTCTGCGAAATGGGAAGCTGATTTTGGTTTCTTATATTGACCAGGACAGAGAGAACACAGTGACCATCTCAAGTTGTGGCAGGCTCCATCCCGCAGGACCCACCAGAGACCAGAAGTCAGAGCACCGGCAGAGACAGGAAGGTGAGCCAGGGCCGGAAGGGTCTGTGGCTGTGCGCATGGCGGGGGCCCAGGCCTCTAGGCCGTCTGCGGCACAGCCTGCTGGCTGCCACTCCAGGACATGATGTCCCTTCCCTCTATGTCCTGCTTTTAATCTGGACATCAGACCCCTCGGGATGCAGACTAGTCTTATCAGAAGCCCTGCAGCTAACCTTGCCTTGTGAAATAGGAACAGGAACATGTGTGCCCACAACTTGGAAATAACCTTAAAAGATAGTTGTCATGTGCCTTTTGCTCTTCTCCTTCCTTCACTCAGCGCGAGGCGTGCAGAAGCAGGGACTGGACTTCCGGTGGTGATGGAGCCCGTGAGGGGAACTCCGGCTTGAAAGCCACAAATGTCAGAGCAGCCAGGCGTGTGAAACCCCATCCCTGATACCATGTTGTCACCATAGTGGTTCTGCACCATCCGCCTCTGGGTTTCACATAAAGCACCTGCCTTGGTTAAGCCTCTACTACGTGAGCATTTCTGTCCTTGAAGCTAATCTGAACTGACCCAACAGTGATTTACCCCATTAAGGAGTTACCATGGATCAAGATGGGTTGAGAAGGTAGGAGACAGTGATAACAAGAAAGCCCCAGCCCAGTGAACAGTGGCAAATATAGCCAGATTTGTGCAGCCTTCTTCCCCGAGCCTCCACCCTAGGCACCAACCTCTGCAAGGGTTTGGGGAGCTTCCCACTGCCACCCTGGCAGCATCTCTGCAGCTCAGACAGCCATGGGGACTGCAGCATGGGCGCAGCTGGCTCACAGGAGCAGAGCAGTGTGAAGGCCCATCCACTAGAGGGGCCACCAGCCCGAAAGGTCAGCCATGGGCGTGCCAGACACCCCCATGTCTCCAGGCCTCTTGCAGGTAGGGCGTGGCTTATGCTGACCAGGGTGTACAAGGGTGGAGAGGGGTCATTGGCCCCGGTTGAGTCAAGACTCTTGACGTCTTTCTTCTGTAGTGTAGTTTAAGAATTGAGTTCATTTGCCAAGTCTGTGATAGTAACAGAAGTCACTGTCGTGAGAGAGATAGAGCCTGTCCCTAAATTAGAAAGCCAGCACCTATGAGCTACTCAGACCTGGATCTGCTTAGGTGCAGAGAAGCAGACTGATATTCCAGACTGTTCACCTTGGAGTGTGAGCCACACTAAACCTGCAAGCCCCCGCCCCCCACCATAGGGTTCCATAGCACAACGCACCTACCCCAGAGCTGCCTGCCCACAGCACCCCTGGGCTCCTTACCAAATTTGCAGGAGCCTGTCTGGTTGAAGAGCAGGCCCATGGGGATGTTCCAACCTGCGGTCCTTCCCACAGCAGTGTGACAGGACTTCTTGCCTCTTAGAGAATTCCAGGTGAGGCCAACATTTGATTTCCTGACAACTGCCACACCAAGATACCCTTGGATGACAGAAGAGCAAGTCTTACCCCCAGGGCACCTGGCCTGTGGACTCGTGTGCAGCTGTCACAACTCCAGTCAAAATGGGCCTGAAGCATCGCCAGCCAGGAACGCCCCAGAGAAGCGGCCATTGTCAAGGAGCCAAAAAATATTTCAGTTGCTGCTAAGGTGTAAGAAATACACCTTAAAAATAGTAAGAAAAGGCCCTCCCTGGTGGCACAGCGGGTTAAAGCACAGCACTAAGAAGCTAAAGCCACTTCAACATGAGTTCAATCACCCCCTGCCCCGGAGGTGACCACATGGCGTGGCAGACCTCTCCTGACCCGCCCGCTGCTCCCCTCAGCAGTGTACTTCGTCGATCTGCCTGTTCTGCTCCCCACTCTGTCCCTGGTGAATCCTCTCACCCTCTGCATTTCTGGCTTGTACCCCAGTTCTGTAGGAGTAAATAAAAAAAATAAATCTTTAAAAAAAAAATAGTAAGAAAAGCTGGTCCTTTAAATGACCACAGGGGCCTGTCCCTGACTAAAGCTGTCAAGGAGTCATAAACCCACTATTTATATACGGGCTACTGAAGCAGCAAATGCTGATTACTTAGCGTGACCAACAGCACATACTGCACTGAATTGCAGGACACATGGGACCACAGAGCACTGGGTTTGGCAAAGAGCGCAGGGTTCAAGGGCAGGTGGGACCTGCCACAGCACCACGTGGCTGTGAGTGGGGGGCACTGCTGAGACCCCCTGATCCCTGATTCCCAGGATGTAGCAACCTTCCCTCCCCAAGAGGAGCTCTGTGAAAGTTCTCTGCCAAATGTGAAAGTCAACAGAATCATTAACAACCCAGCTATGAATTCTGTGAATTGCGAAAGGACTGGGAGTTTCGGTGCTTATATCTCTTTCTATGACTTTTTCAAATTCCCTCCACTCCCTTTTCCAACTACAAGAACTTACCCTTAACCCTGACAGTGACCAACTTACCTTTATCTGGTTTCTGCACACAATCTGATTGTCTTTTATTGGATTCTGAAAGAAAGTAAGAAAAGTAGAAGATTACTAAATATTCGGATTTATTGAGAAGCCACAAACGTTTAAAGTTCAACAACGCAGAGAATCGAGCGTGACCACTGGGCACGGCCGAGTGGCAGTCAGGCGTCCGTGTGATCACCAACAGATGTGGACACAGGTTCCCGGCAGCCTGGCCACGAGGGCCACCAACTGGGAACTACCCAGGTGTCCACCCACGCTGAACGCACAAGTCACTGTGGCCGTATCCCACCACAGGATCCCACCCAAGGAGATGGAATGAGTCGCAGACACACTCAGACATGGATGAATAGCAAAAATCAGGAAGAGCAAGGGACATTTGAAAAGCGCAGACACTACAACCCTTTCACACAGTTCAAAAATAGCACAGTCAAGAGAGATCTCCCTCGCTGGGGTAAGAGGGCTGTGCCCTGACCTGCCCACTGTGCCCAGGCCTGGGCCAATCTGTGGCGTGCCATTCAGCTGCACACTACGCACGCTTTTCTGCCTATCATTATACTTTACTAAAATCATTTGTAAAAATAAGTCGAGGAAACCAATCAGCGTGTCAGTTCTCGACACACTAAATTTTGCGAGTGAATCAGCCCGTTCATATGGACTTTGCCCAGGCTCCCCAGTGAATGTGACTGTCCTCCAGACACACCAGCCCGAACTGGCCTGATCTCTTCTGAATGTGTCTGTCATTGCACCTTAATGTCTCCACCTGTATACCCATCAGTGGGGTGACTCCTCTCTACCCCTCCCCGGTGAGGACATTCCCCACACACACACACTTACTTCGGTTCTCTGCCAGGACAGGAACCAAACCGCATTTGCCTGCAGTATAGATATAGCCTCCATCCAAGCTCAAAGCGTCAGCTTCTCCTTTCTGCAAAGACAAAACAAATCGCCAGCAAGAAGTGAGGCTGTTTCCTGTCCCACTTGTCTCTCAGAAAATGACCCAGAAGCAGCAGGGAGCGTGGCTGTTGAACTGAGAGCCCAAAGTGAACAGTCTGCGCAGTTTATCCACCAGCTCCATGCCATCACTCCATTGCTAGGACAGGCCCGAGCTGCACTCACTCTATCCTGTGATCAAAACTTTTCCTTACTCCTAACACTGCCGGGATGCCCACCTGGGCCAAGCTCACTGAAAAGCAGCAGGAAGCCAGGCCTCACCTCGGCTCAGCTCACTGGCACCCAAAGGGCTACACCGAGGAGCTTCAACCACTGAGCACAGATGACCCACTCAACCCCCCACAGACCCACACCCAAAAATGGAACATGGAGTCATCCAGACACTTAATTTCCTCTTTGGTCCAGTAAAAAATTCTACGACTAAATTAAAAATAATTGGCCATGAAGACAGAGATTTCTATTCAAGGATGCTCATCCTAGGGCATCGACAATTGCAAAATAAATGGATAAAGCACAATGCAATCACGAGCAAACTGAGCCATGTCCACGTAAAACTGGTCTGAAATCATTGTTAAAGTGTTTTTCAAAAACGATATATTCATTTTGGAAAATGATCCTCATAGCCTGTTAACGAGGACTTCAAGCTTGCTAAGGAGCAGAGGCATAAACATGCTGAGAAAATGGAAAGTTAACAAAACCTTAATCGTGGGGTCTCTGTGAGATCACAAGCAGCTTTTTACTATTTTACACCCTACTTTTTTAGACTCTCCAAGAGACCTGCCATAATCATCAGCAGTTCTTAGGATCGGAGGAGTGGACACCAGCAAGATGCAGGAGTGTGTGCGTGTGTCTGCTACAGATCATACTAAAATCGTCAAGCTGTGCCTGCTTGCACACTACACCCTGACACTGCCCACTCGGCGTGTCTCACTGCACTGGCCTGGAGCTCTCCCCTGGCCCCCCTGCTGGCCCTGGGCAGTGCCTCGTGGCTCCCCAGCGCCGTTAAGGAGCCAGGGCCGGCGGCGGGGCCCAGAGCAGGCAGCACCTACCAGCACCAGGGAGATGCAGTCCTCGGGGGTGGACGCCGTCGCGCAGGCCACGCTGCCGTCGCTCAGGCTGCTCCACCGTGCGCACTTGCGCAGCTCGTGGCGGCCCACGGCGCACCACACCACCTGCTCACGCCGCTCGGACCGCCGCCCTGCTTGGAGGGTCACAGCCGATCGGCGGGGGCTCCGCTTACCGAGGGTCCCCAGGCCCGCCAACCCCCCGGAGCCGGGACCCCTGAGAATGCCCTTCCTGCTCGCACCCTCCCACCAACCAGCCAGGGACTCCTTCCTCCTGCCCCTCCCCGCTCCTGCTCAGCCTTCCAGACCCATCTTCCGGTGGAGGAACCTTCCCACTCTGCTTCTCGCTCTCCTTCCTCTGGAGATGTGGCTTCTGATCCACACCGGTCCTTACTGTAATGACTTGCCTAATAACGGTCCCACAGGATACAGACTCGGGGGCACAGGGACTGAGGCAGCCCCAAAAGATGACCTAGGGTACTTGGAGCCCAATTCTGGCCCCCCTGACGTCCACAGTCGCCGCCCTAACTATGTCGAGGACACTGCTGCTCCCGGTTCACCAGAGGCCTCCCCAGACAGGACCAGCCACAGCTGAGCTGGCCCTCCTCTGTGTCCCCAGCCCAGCCCAGCACATGAGCTCGGGCGACAGTCCAGCGAGCCACAGGTGCACCCCAGGACATCCGGGCTCTCTTGGTCCCTGTCTAGATTTCTCACTTTATCATATGGCGCAAATGGATTTTTCTGCCAGGCTGGGAAGCCTGGTGTGCAGAGGACGCGCTGCAGATTTCGTGCAGAGCCAACACTCTGGTTTGAAGACACCCACACAGGTTACACAGCCCACCCTGGCAGCTGCGCCCACCTAGCACCTGAAGACCTCCAGCGGCGGAAGCCAGAACAGTGCAGCTGGGGCAGGAGGAAGCTGCTCCCAGGAGGCTTTCCCCACTACGCAGCTCGTCGCTGGAGGGACACAGCCAAGCCGGCCCCGCCCTCAAGCCCTGGCCCTCACTCACTTTCTTTCAGGTTCTGCATGGCTGAGAGGAAGCTGAAGTCAAGGTACAGGGAGGAATTTATCTTCGAGGGGATCCTCAGAAACCCAAGGGCAGAGTCTTTGAACAGCAGGTCCTCCTGCCCAGGAGAGGAGCCAAAGAGGGCGAACTCTGACGACTTGCCTTTCCCAAACATCTTCTAGAGAAGGAAAAATAGAATTATGGCGTCAGTGGTAAATAGGGAGGACACAAATCAACAGTGTGGGAAAGGCTTTGGAAGGTCAGGAGGATTCCGAGCGGGAGCCCTGGTGACCTCCCCCGCGGCGGGCAGGCTGCCCCTGCCCGCTGTTCAGCTATGGCCGTTTCTTCAGAACATGGCTGAGCTCCAAGCACCTCCAAGTCCTGAGACTACGGCATCCTCGTCCCCCCGCTTCTGCTCCAGGCCTCAAGGCCCTGCCGGCTGGAAATGCTAGAGGCCTTCCTGCCCCAGTGTACACCCTAGGCAGGCAGTAGGCAGGGCTCTAAACCCAGCGCAGCGAGGTCACAGGAGGACTTCAGCAGCAGCAGAAGTCAGGGAGGGAACATCCCAGCTGAAATCCAAGAAGCCGGGGAGGGACAGGGATACCTGTGCCCGGCGGAGAAGCTCCCAGATCAAGCTGTCCATGCCGATGCTCCTTCGGGTCACAACTGTGTGAGATGGGACCCGGGCCAGGTAGCAGTCCTTGTATGCACGCACGGGCTTCCGGGTGCGGTCCGGGCAGAGCAGCTCATACTGGTCCCAGTCAGCTCTGTTTGGCGGGATTTCTGGGGGCAAGGGGGTGATGGGGGTGCCCAGATGGGCTGGTGCCAGTCACCTGAGCTATATCCCTCTCCCCACAGTATCGGAGCAAGAAGAGACATCTTGCACAGCCAACAGAACTGGGGCTCAGAAAGGCAGCCAACTGCTCCAGGACACACATAGAGGTGAAGACAGACCCCAGAAAGCCTGGTCAGCCCAGTGTCCCGCTGACCAGAGAGCATGGACTTCCCTGGCTGTGTGCAGCTGCTGCCTGGCCCGTCAGGAGGCTGGGTCTGTTCCCAAGTCTACCCCTCTGCAAAATGGGTGCATGTGGTGGCCTGTCCATCTTGGCCCTGGGTGCAAGGTATTCAAAGTACAAGTGTGCTTCAGTGTGTGGCTCTTCAGGGACATTCTCCAGCAGGACAACAGGAGGACACACCCAGGCGTGAGCCACGCAGCTGTCTGGAGTCATGGAGAGGAAAGGACAGGCCAACCTAGACCATCCCTGGGGTGTATCAAACCTCAGGGACACCTTCCACGGAGCACCCTCTACGGTTGTAACCACTGGACTAGCGTGTGTGTACAACATGGATAAATCTCGAAAACAAATGCTAAGTGAGAAACCTGGACAGCAGCATGGCATTCTAGTGTTCAGGAAAACTCCCATGAGTTTAAAAGCATGCACTGTTCATTACATTGTGTGAGACAGCACACATCTCTGCTTTAAGGCCCTCTGCTCCAGTGTCCGTGAGGTGGACGAGAGAGGCAGTGCGCATGGAAGAGTTCAAGAAAATGGTCGCTTCAGTGTGAAAAAGCATAGCGTAACCTTGATGATAGTGAGTAATAACTGACAAATCAAATCAGGTCAATATCCAGAATTATGGTAAAATAAAATAAAAGGAGGCAGAACCCATGGCTCTTCTCCCTGTCCTTACCAAAGAGTACCCTCTCGTTGACAAAAGCCACTTCTCCAGCCCCGTCTTTCAGACACCTGTGGAATGAGGAGGCCCCAGAAGCTCAGCACGGTGCCTCCCACGGACAAGGCCCAGCACTCGTCTCCTATGTCCATCTGCTCCTTCCCCAGGGGCATGGCTTTGGGGGTTCCCCCAGCTAGGAAGGTTAACAGGGCTCCCCTCCAGGCATTCCTGAGGAAGGCCAGGCATTCCTGGCCTTCCCCTCTAGGGGCTGATAGGCCAAAATGTGGTCGTTCTATGTAAAAATGTTGAAACAGTGTAAAAGCTTAGCATCCTTTGCTGCGTGGTTCCTTCTCTGAGCGCTGCTTAGGGGAGAACCGAGGAGGCCTCCTGCAAACATGCCTGGGCCAGGAGGCAGAGGGGGAGGACCCTGGCAGCAGCCTCAGCACAGGGCCGAACGGCAGGGCCGTGAGCAGAGGGGAGGGGCCCGTGTCAGCCTGGGACCTGAGACTCACTGTCGTGTGACAAGACTGCTGAGCCCCTCTGTGTTAGGGAGGGAGCAGAGGTCAGCCAGAGAGACCCAGGGCGGGGGTGGGGGGAGGAGCCACAGCTAAGTGACCGGTCCTCAGGCTGATACAAGGGTGAGGGGCACAGATAAGGCCAAGGGGGAACATGGCCTGGACAAGCCAGCAACTCTGAACTCTGTTTCTCTATCGACACAACGCAGAACTGGGCTTCCCCTGCCAAAGCTACTAGCAGGCCGAGCTCTACCCGGAGCCGAAGAAAAGGCCTCCTGGACTGAGGACATGTGGCCCTGGGTCCCTGGGGAGCAGAGGACAGGTAGGTCACTCACTTGAAGGCCCCCAGATCGCCAAAGTAGGGTTCCTTGGAAGAGCAGGCACATTTATTCGCCTCTGTCCCTGCACACAGGCGACACAGGCCCAGGTACCGGCTTCCGTCTGCACAGGGAGCACAACTGGCGGAGAAGAACTGGGCCGCCGCTGTTGAGCAGAGAGAAATGGGCGCGTGTGAGCCAGCCCCGCCGCCAGACCACCTCTGGCGTGGGCCCCCTGTGAGCCCACCCTCCTCACCCTCCTGGGCAGCTCTTGGGGCACCCAGAGATGACAGGACCCGACTTGGAGGCCCCCTTCCAGGCTGCTGATGCGATAGACCGGCCAGCAGTAAGCCTCACCCCACCCTGGGTTCACCCCTCGGCTGCCTGTGTGGTCTCCAAGTGGCTCGTGTGTGCAAGCAGAAGAGAGACCCCTGCCTGAGACCACCCGCAATCCAGCCCCCGTGATCTTACCCCTCTGAAGCGGCTCAGGTGGTCCTGTCCAGTTCAGGAGTGGACGAAGCACCCCCAGAGGGATGTGCCAGCCGGTGGTGCTGCCAGTGCCAGGGAAGCAGGACTTCACGCCTTGCAGTTGGTTGAGCTGGAAGCTGCTGTCCTTCTTCACCATGGCCAAGGCATAGTTGTAGATTTGGGGCTCTGAGACGGAGGGAGAATTAAAGGCCATTAGCCTGGACCAGAGAGAGGGAAACCAAGGGGAAGGGGCCCAAATGCTGGCTTTCGTGGTGGAACAGCCCAGAACCTGCTATTTTTACAGGAAACACACACATGTCCTCCCCCAGTGGGCCAGCATCTGGCCCAGAGGTCTCAGTGACTCGGTTCCCTCAGCATGACACTGCCCAAGGTCCCACCGCTGAGACTCACCCATCTAACTACATGGAGACCCAGGGCCAAGGCCACCCGAGCTGCCAGTCCCCAACGAGAACTCACTTGCTCTGGTTTCATAGAACTCGGCCGCAACAGGGAGCAGGTTATAGGGGGCCAGGCCTGCCTCAAACAACGACCTGCCATCCAGGGCCACAGCATCTGCCTTGTTTGTCTGAAAGCAAAGAGGCCAGACCAGCTTCAGGGGCCCTGCCCCCACCCCGGCAGGTGGGGTTTCAGGAGGCAGGAGGTCTCCGTGGCTGGCAGACCCATCATGCCCACCCATTTCCAGTGAGTGAGGGTCCCCATGCTCAGCTGAGGTCCGTCCCTTGGGGTGATGGGCACCAGCCCAACTGCTTTCAGTCCTGGGTTGTCACTAGGCTTCTTTGTCACCTGCCTACTGGCGGACGTCAGTCCAACCACGTGCCCTTCACAGTCATTTATATTAACTTATTTATTTTGAATTTTCCCCTGTGTTATTACTATTAGCAGTTTTTTTTTATTGAATAGCAATGATATCTATTAAGAATGAACCATGTTCATCCTTAAGGGCATGTAACATCTCACATGCTCACATTTGCAGTGTGGCACAGACCACATTTTGTGGACTGCTTTCTTCCTAGAACAAAAGCCTGCATGTTCTTACTTCTGTAGAGCCTTTATTGAATTAACTGACTGCATAATATTTTATTGTCATGTAATTGCTCCATAGTCATAAAATAATTCCATAAATGTCCAGCACTTTTTTGCTATTAAAATTACTCTTTCATGGATAGCTTTGTCCTCATAGCTTTTTCCCTTCTGATGCCTGTTGCCTGGGGACAAGAGACTGGGTCAGAACTCATCTGTTTCCATGGCGACCTCACCTAGAAAAGGTCATGTCCCAAAGAATAAGCCAGACAACAAGCATGTTTATTATCCTGACCCTGGCTGCATGGTCAACCTGCCTTCCAGAAGATTACTAATGTCAATAGCCAAGATAGACAGACAAACAGATGGATAGACAGATAGACGGATAGACAGATAAGACAGACAGATGGACAGACAGAGATTGGAGAATACCAACAGCCATAAGGTTTAGGTTCACTGTAGAATCACCAGTAGGACAGACTTTCATTTTATTATAACTTTAGAAAACACAAGTGCTGACAAGCTATTTAGGCTTATATTTCTTTGATTATTAAGACCATTTCACAAGCATGTTTATTAATTATTAATTCCCTCTGGCTACTCTATTCCTGTCATTTTTCCCATATGATCTTACAATCCTTACCAATTTGAAGTAGTTCTTTGTAGAGTGGATGTTGTAATCATTGTCAGAATAGTCAGATACTCACTCTGGTGCTTTCTAGATTCTTCTTGTTTAACTGTTTTAATGACTATCAATTCAATGTTTGTATTATAAATATTGTCAGTTTACCTCAGGATTTCACCCATTGCTGAAAAGCTAAGAGATTTCCCACCACAGTTCTGCACATCAACCAGTCCCCTAGTTTTTCAATAACACTTTTTTTATGCTAACCATTTGTTCATACCACTCTTCTTAGAGGTATGGTATTAGTAATGACTTCAAGTAGGGGATCATTTTAAGAAGGCACATTTGGCCCTCCCAGGGGCACAGCCAGTTAGGATGCAGCACTGCAAGCTAGCTGCAGCCACTTCCGAGCAAGTTCCATCCCAATCCCAGACGTGACCCACATGGCGCAGCAGACCTCTCCTGACCCACCCACTGCTCCCCTCAGATTGTACTTCATCGATCTGCCTGTTCTGCTCCCCACTCTGTCTCTGGTGGGTCCTCTCACCGCCCCTGCACCTCTGGCCTATACCCCAGTTCTGTATGCATAAATAAATCTTCTTTGTTAAAGATAAATCTTTTTTTAAAAGATTTATTGATTTATGCATACAGAACTGGAGTACAGGCCAGAGGTGCAGGGGTGGTAAGAGGATTTATCAGAGTGGGGAGCAGAATAGGCAGATCAGATCGAGGAAGTACACTGCTGAGGGGAGCAGCTGACAGGTCAGGAGAGGTCTGTCACGCCATGTGGGTCACCTCCAGGGTAGGAGATTTAACTTGCACTGAAGCTGCTGAGGCTAGTTGCATCCTAACCCATTGCACCACCAGGGAGGGCCCCTAAATCAATAAATCTTAAAAAAAATAAAAGAAGGCAAATTTTGTGACCTCACTTGCAGTTATTCCAGTTGAATAGATTAAACAGGGCCTAGGAATTTGCATTTTTTTAAGATTTTTTTTTTATGAATACAGAACTAGGGTACAGGCCAGAGGTACAGAGACAGTGAGAGGCTTCACCAGAGACAGAGTGGGGAGCAGAACAGGCAGACTGCGAAGTACACTGCTGAGGGGAGCAGTACACAGGTCAGGAGAGGTCTGCCGCGCCATGTGGGTCACCTCTGGGCCGGGGATCGAACTCATGAGATGGCTGCAGTTAGCTTCATAGTGCTGTGCTTTAACCCATTGCACCACCAGTGAGGGCCCGGAATTTGCATTTTTAAGTCAGCAAAAAAGCTGGTACTATCTGTCCAAATAACCAACTAAAATACTGATGAAACTGGAGTTTTTACCCTAAATAATGTTACAGTGACCCTTGATATTATAAAAAAAAAAAACTCCTAAACAAGTTACCACCCTACGCTACATCGAGAACATACAACTATGGCACCAGGTAGGTTTACAGAACATATTTGTTGGGTGGATGAGAAAAAACTATTTCAGGAGCGCTTATATCTCAAAAATCAAAAGAAACCTGAAGTCATGCACAGGTCATGAGCTCTCTCTTTCTCTTTAGTACGGTACTATGTCCTGTGACAAGAGCTACCCCCAGCTTACAGCTGCCCCAGGAGGGAAGCAGGAGTAGGCCGCCCACAGTTTCTGTGTCACGCTCCCCCTGACTTACCGCAATGGCCTGGATACACTGAAGTTGGGAGGATGTCTTCACACAGGAGACAGAGGGGAGGCCCACTTTTTTCATGTTCCGCTGGAATCTAGCGCATTTCTCTGCCTCTGGTTGTGAGGTGGTGCACCACCGAACATTTTTCTTAGGAGCAGCCAGACACAATCCTGGGAGAGAGAGGCCACGAGTAAGGGCTCACCTACTGTGCGTGGATGAAGCTGCCTCCCCCTCTGATGGAATTTCCAGATGCCTCCATCTCTGCTCCTCTCCACTGTGGCTCCGCCAGGCCACTGCCCCCAGTGGGTGTGTCCCTTCGGCCCCCCCAGCACGCAGTGTTGGCCACAGGCTGGGATTCGCAATAAATCTAGAAGACACAACCAGAGCCCTTCCCCACCTACAGTGACTCCCTCCTCCCTCGCCCCTTGCCAGGCCCCAGCCCTTCCCGGCCCTCCTGCTGCTGCTGGGCCCTCCCACTCCCCTCCAGGAGGCCACCCCACACACATTTCCATCACTAGTATCCACCACTAGCCCTCCACTTGGGTAGAGGACTAACACTGCTCATTCCCTTCTGTTTAGTGCCTTTTTGTCTGGACACATGTCAAATGGGAAATCAGTTATTTCTTTCTCTCTCCCACCCTCTGACGGAGGGGTCCATCAGGAGGGTGGGTGCCGCCACCCCTACCCTCTGCACTGGGAGGCAAGCGTATACCTGTGCTTATTCTGAGCAAAAGGCACCTGCTTCCTCCGCACAACTCTGGAAAGAAGTTTGGACTAATTTTTAAATACAGAAACTCAAAAAGGTTTTGTCTTGCCCTAACTCCACTGTCGTTTGCAGGAGTGAAGAGCAGAACCGGATTCCCTGTGTGTCTCTGGCAGGTTGCTCACCCTCTCTGATTCTAATTTTTCTCTCATGCAAAACGTGCCTAAGGGTACTGCGGCCTTGGCAGAACAAAATGGCACAGGGCCAGGAAGGCCACTTGAGGCTCTCAGAGCTCTGCCAAGCTCTCTGGTGGGCGGCGAAGGGGCACCCTGCTCCTCCCCGGCCAGTGGGCGGGACCAAGCCCCAGCTCCCTCTGCGTCCCTGGCAGCAGGCTCTGGGTGCCAAGCCACAGGGTGCAGGAACCACAGAGACCTCCCCAGGGGCGCCGGGCTGGGACAAGCCCGGCTTGGGGTGCACCACGGGTTCCTATACTCACCAAGGGCGCTGAGGAACAGCAGCCTGGGGAAGACCAGCCTCATGTTTGAGATCCTGGGGTGACTCCCGTGCATGGAGGCTCTGCCATCTGCACCCTCTCTGCACCTCGTTTTATGGAGGGCTCGGTGACCTCACGAATTTTGCCCCGCCCTGTGGCTCAATAGATGCCACCCCCACTGGTTCCTTGAAGACCAAACAAAAGGCAGGCTGAGGGGAGGGATAAGGATCCCCTAACATGTTGGCACAGCAGCCAGTCAGTCGAAGGTCTAAGGAGGACCACAGCCCCAGCCCAGGTCATCAGCCCTGGGACAGGGATAGCAGCGGTGGCCCAGTCTGCCCCAGGCTGCCTGTGGGTTCGCTCCTGCCCCTTGCTGAAGCCACAATAAAGCTCCCAGGAAACAGAGCCGGCAGCCTCAGAGGGCCCCTCTGCCTCCTCTTGCCAGTGGGCCACACTTCCTGCCCCCGTTCTGTTTTGTGGCAGTATGAATTGGCAGATGGGGAACTGACTTTGAAAAATGTCATAGTTTGTCCTCAATAACAAGCTAAACTTATATCCAGGAGCTGGTTTTAAATTTTAAAAACCAGAATTCTGCTTCTAAGAATACATCTGGCACACACTGGGTGACACGCCAGGGCTCACATAGGAGGGTGCCCGGGCCGCGCAGGGCCGGTTCACTGAGCCAAAGCAAACGACAGGTCTCTCCCTGGGCCCTGTGTGCAATGAGGTCACGGGGGTCTGGGGACAGGTCCCCCTGCCCGTGCTGATGTGAGCTTAACTCCCAGGACAGTGAAAGAGCAAGGTGCTAAAGACGGGGAGACACAGGGCCACTGGCCTGCCAGTTCATTCTGGCCAGTGGTCATTCTGGTCTGTTCGTCCCAAAAGTTGGTCTTGACGCTCTTTAGACTTCATACAAAAAGCATGTCCGGGAGCAGGTGAGCGTTCCTGGGATCAGCACAGCCAGGGTGGGCCAGGCTCGTGGACACGAGGAGCAGACCCACCTCAAGCCTGAGAGGCTGTCAGAGATTGTGGGGCCCCTCTGCCCTGGGTCCTACCAGCACGGCCCTAGAGCCACCAGCTGGATTTGGGGTGGCAGATCCAGGGACTCTCATTGTTTGGAAACACAATATTGCAGCATGAATAGTTGCTTTCATCAATAATTGCAATATGCTATTTCAAAAATAGTGAAGAAATACTAAATGGGCTAATTCTCAGGAACGCTGAGCATCATGGTCCCTAAATTAGCATTTGGTTTTGCCTTTTCGTGATTATAAAAAACTAAGAATGAGCACAACCCATGTCTCCAGCTCAGAGTGCAAATTAGGGGAAGAATGGGTTGGAGCTTGAGTCTCCAAACTCAACGTCCATTCCGCAGCGGCAGGAACACAGAGATTCCGTGACGGCCACCGGAACCCCGAGCTTAAGGGCTGCTGGGAGGCGGGACCGGGGTAGTAACAGTGTGTCTCTGCAGACGGCAATGTCCCGGGGCAGGATGCACCCAACTGGGTTCAGGCAGCGCAGCCCTCCAAGGGTCGGCCCAGAGAGACAAAGTTCAAGTGAACTGTTATCAACAATGGTGCATGTGTGTTGGAACTGGTGGGACTCCCTGTGGGACACGGAGAACAGCGGCCTGTCCTCACTCTTGGGCGTTCACAACGCACCGGGCAGTGGGTACAGGCCCGTCTCTCACACAGGCCTCCCGGGAGAGGGCAGGGGGCCTCTAGAAAGTGAGTGTGGAGTTCGGAAGGAGGCTGGAGGGTTCCCACCTGGAAGGTTCCAGAAGAGTTTGGGGAACAACATCTGACCTGGGTCCTGAAGGAAGGGTAGGGCTTCTACAAGTAGAGTATTGTGGGTAAAGATCTCCCCAGTAAAGCCAGGTGACGTGGACCCAGGGGCCAGTTACCGGAGCGTGAGGGTCAACAAACGGTCACTCCTGGTTTTTGGGCTGGAACTTTCTATGGAAGAAATAATAATGAAGTCACTGAACATTGCATGGTGCAGGTGTCCAGCTACCTCTGGACAGCTCCTCCTGCAGGTCCTCCAACAGCCAAATTCAAGGTGTCTAAGATGGGCCACTTCCGCCCCCTCCAGCCCTACCCCTTCTCTTCTGCTCCCCACCCCTGACCACCAAGCCGACCAAGCAAAGAACTTCAGGTCGTCCTCAAATCCTCTGACTGCCTATGCCTGGGCATGCGGTGGGCATTTGATGACCAATGCTGAATGCATGAATGAGTGAGTGGATGGGTGACTGAGGAGGAGGGACAGGCTAGTGGGGGCTGAGGTTCCTTCTCACCATGCGTCAAGTCTGCAAGACAGTCTGCCTTCTGGTGTGCAGCCATTACTTTAACCCTCAGGCAACCCTGCTCTCCAGAGCACCTCCCGTGTAGCAGGAGTGGCTTGAGGCATGGTCCTCACAGACCCTCACAGAGACAGTGATGGCCCCTAGGCACAGAGCTGAGGAGCTGGAGAGTCTGTGGGTGTGTCTGTGGCTGGGGGGCCATCAGGAGGGGAGCTCAGTTGAAGGGCAACAGGAAAATAGTGGCTTTATTAACAAACCTGTCTTCTTGCCAAATGTTGCCCAATTTACAAAGAACCCACAGAGACAAAGGGCTTCTCTGGATCAGCCCTTGGGACTCTCCTCCTACTCCCTTTGCTCCCCTTCCTCGTCCTTACTATCAGGGCCCTCTGCCCCTCCAGACTGCCTCCTCTCAGGGCCAAACCCTGGGGCACCCACCACCTGCGAGGGACCCTGCACCCCCACTCCCCCCAAGATCAAGGAGCAGTGCAAGATTTTAATTATCCTGACCCCGAACCCCTGGCAAAAACCTGAACTCCTTGAGCTCTTAATCTTTGCACCCATTGAGATGAATCTGTGCAGTCAGCCTGGCCAGAGATAGTCTTCGGGAAGGTGCCAGCCCAGAGCAGTCTGGAGGGTGACAGTGGTTGGCCCAAGGCCAGTCATGCAAATTTCTTCCCAGAAGGAATGAGACCCTGAAAACCCCCAAGCAGGAAGCACTTGAGCCCGAGTTTCCTAGTGCCCCCCCACCTCCTCCTCCCCTCCCTGCCCCCCAGGGTTGCATTCTGGCCTGGAGAAGTTCCCCACCACAGCCTTGAGCCCGAGTTTCCTAGTGCCCCCCCACCTCCTCAGTTTCCTAGTGCCCCCCCACCTCCTCCTCCCCTCCCTGCCCCCCAGGGTTGCATTCTGGCCTGGAGAAGGTCCCCACCACAGCCTTTCACATCTGCAGCTCAGCAAGCCTGCCACTGACGCCCTGCAGGAAGAGGGCGGGAGGCTGGGGGAAGCCTGGCATGGGCACTCTGAGGACCAGGGAGCCACCGTGTTCTTCCATTTCCTCGGTCCAGGCCAGTGGTTCTCATCCTCCCCTGTTCCTTCAGGCCCCAGGATATCCAGCCCCTGACCCGCACCATCCCTCCCTCCATTTATTCACCAGACAGCCAGGGAGCCTGGAGGCTTGGGGAGATGTGAGCAGAGCACAGGGAAAGGAGTTAGACCAGAGCTTGAACTGGCTGCACCTAAAAAGCCACCTGGACCCCAGCCTGTCTCTAACCTAAGTTCCAGTTTCCCAGAGTCAAAGGGGGACATGAAAAATACCCACCTTATGAGGTAGTGGAGTTAAAACCCGCGATCAGGTCGCCACCCGTGTTCAAGGGCTCAGGTCCAGTAAGCCATGTGGATTTTCACACTCTCGAGAGCCCCCGCTGTGCAGAGACCTCCAGCCCCGGCTTGCGGCTTTCAAGGGGGCAGGAAGCAGATCCAGGAGCACCTGGTCCAGCGGCAGCTCTGTGTGTGCTGAGTGTCACCCACTGACCCAGTGTCAGGCCCGGTCATCCTGTCGGCGTGGAGCAGGGAGCCTTCCCTGCGAGGAAACAGCCCACCCTGGGGAGAGGACAACGGCAGATCTCTTTCCACACATACCCCTCCTCCAACAGCCCCAGCCCACGTTTTCTAGAGAGCTCACACCCAGGCTTGGTCCTGCTCTGGATGCTTCTGTCTCTAACCCCCCAACCTCCTCGCTCCTCCTTCTGTCTCTCTCCTCCATCTCTAGCTCTGTCTCTCCTTCCTTCCCTTTTAACAACATGGTGTTTCATTTGCTCTGGACAATCCCGGGGATTCTGCTCTGACCCTGACCGAACTTCCTTCTATCACAGGTTTAATTACTGACTCCTCCCCCACACCTGATGATGAGTTCCAGCAGAGTGGGGCTGGGGGAGCATTGGAGAAGGGGTCACCCTGTTGGTGCCCTGCAGAGACTTCAGGGCAGGTGGTCTGCCCCTCCCTTAGGGAGGAACAGGAACACCAGAACTGGCAAAAGCCCCTGTCTAATGGAGCAGGAACACCAGGGCTGGCAGAGTCCCTGTCTAGGAGGGACAGAGGAGGCTGAATCCCACATAAGAACACAGGAGCACTGAGGCCACAGGTAAGACCGGCACTGGCCTGGGCCTCTCGGGAGACCCCGCATGTGGACTGGGGCTTTGAAAGCCACAACTGTTCCTGAAGTGACACTGCCGAGGTCACGCACACGACCAGTGGGCTTCAGGGAACGCTGGCCGGGTTCTGCCCTTGCCCTCTCATCCTAAACCTCCCGTGTGTCTACTTCGAGAGTGAGAGAAGGGCCAGAGAAGGTGACAAAGGCTTCCTTTTTCTGACCCGCCCTGCAGCTCTTAGATGCTGAGCAAAATCTTCCCCTAAACAGCATTAGTTTCCAGGGAAAATGCAGCCCTGGGTTGCTCCCCTAAAAAGAGGACTGCCGCAGTGTGACGGGGAGGGGGCTGTTATGAGGGAGCTAAGGGGTGCCAGGGCCAGGACTCCCGGAGGGAGTCTGGGCACACAGCTGGCCCTTAACCGTCATTGTCATTCCGAGGTTATCAGTCAGGTCGGAAGCAGCAGTAGGACAAACATGGACGCCAGAGGGCGAGATGAGGCTCTACAGGCCGAAGGCGACTTGCAGGACAGGGACTGGTGGGCACAGCCTGGGACGTGGCAGGTGACACAGAATGTGGTAGCTCTTTGGAAATGGAAGTGAGCAATCTCCAGGATATTTGCAA